TGAGGCATGCTTTCGTTCCAACTCCCTCATTTAGACCTCTCATACCCGTCAAAACTAGTACTGTTGACTGACAAGCTAACAGCCCGTAAATGCGTGCCACGCATGGAACATGTGCTAACTTTACAGGCAAACCTTCAGTTAGGAATATCGGAAACTGGCATAAAGGTCACACTAGGACGGTGACATCTCACCCTGACAACCTTTCCATCGTAGAGCCGAGATTTCCTCTCCTTTGGCAACCTTCGAAGCCCCCGTAGGCCGTAGTATAGCGACTAGTAATACAGGCAGGAAATAACTGCCGACAACGGCAAGGGAGACTGGAATGACTGTCTTTTTGTTTATTTGCTCTAGGTCGAGCCCCATAGCACAACGGGGTGAGTAGGTCCCCTAAATTCGATCGATGAGTGCGCTCTGCCTCAGTTAATGCACCCAATCGTACAAGAAATATCTAGCAGTCCGTGGTTCAGTCTTTAAGGCGTTGGACGCCTAACCAACAGAACGTGGGTTCGAGTCCCAGGGTTTGTAGAAATCCTGATGGTGGCGGATAATAGGCCAAAATGGCCGTCCTACTCTTGCTAGGCTTTGTCGATAGTCCTCCTCTGTAGCATAAAGTGTACGTGCAAGACTTCGCATACTCAAAATAGGGGCAACAGCTCCACTTGCAATAGACCACATTTGGAAAAATATATCGGTAGATTTATAAACCTTGTTAATTTCCCTACCCGTACATTCGCCGCTTTTGTCTGTGCTACAATTTCATCTTCTTGTCTAGTGGGGGATCTAAAGATAACCATCCTTGCTTATTAGTCTTCGATGCTGTACGTGCACATAACGGAGGGTAGATGCTCCGCTTCCTTTACTACTGCATCGCTGAACCGGAGAGTTTCCGCCCTGCCATCTTCAACGTTTTGATTTCGGAATTATTTACCTCTTCTATCATCGTACTTGGAGGCTATTACCTTCTGCACTCGGAGGTCGCCTTTCTATAATAATGTGAAGAACTCAGCCCGTGTTGATTAGCACCGTTTACTGAGAAAGCACAGAATTATAAACTCTTGTTTTTCACTGCAGTCTCGCATTCACTCTCCAGTTTGCTGCAATACTCTAGGCAAAAGTTGTCATTTTGATGCGTTTTACGCGCACGACCTTCTGTTTTGCAGTTCCTACAGGAGAATAACCTCATGGACTACAGCGTTCTCATCGGCATCCATGATGTGGAGATGGCGTCGGAATTGCCGCCATCATCAGAGGAACCTCAGGAGATGCCCGAGAGCTCCTACGAGTCGTCCACTGCCTCTGCCGGCGATGGACTGGGCGAGATCATCGAGTCTCAGTACCGCCTTTCAGGACCTCACGGCGTGAACGCCATGGTTGTGGGCTCTGCTGGCTCCGCAACTGCTGCGCGGCCCAGTGTAGTTGGAGCTGTCAACGCCTCTCTGGACGAGGATGAAGACGATGAGGAGG